AGGAGAAATTTCTATAATTTTACTCCATTTCCCCAGTGAGCTACATGTTGTTCATGAATTAAGAATACAAGGACAGGAAACCCACTAGAAAACCTGACCACTATTCAGGAGTTTGAAAGAAGGAGATGTGAGGAGTTAATTTCAGATCTGGTGTAAATGATCCAGCTTAAGAAGTAGTTTTGCATTTTGCTGTAACTTAAGTACTGGCACTGCTCGTGGTTTACTCTGTTTGGAGTTTGATTTGTCCATTTACCTCCCACTGTAGTCATCTGTGTCCAAACGTAATCATGTGCATCCAGATTTCAAGAGTATTATCAAACCATGTTTTTGAGGATGCTGGCTGTGATGGGAATCTGAAATACAGAATTTGCAGTGTCACCAAACCGATCTCTTCTTCATCTGACCCCCAGAACTGACTTGGAAATGAGACAATAATTGGAAAATTAGATTCATGAAATGTACCCATGCAACTTCTCGATTTCTGCTCATGTGATGAAATGTGGTGGTTATTAGAAAAAAAGGGTGTTCTTGCTGCACACAGTCCATTAACAGCTCTATATACTCTATCTGGGATCTGGAGGTTGAGTCGGGGTCTTTTTGCCTTGACCTTGTCACAAGAAAGAGTGCAATATGAGTGTAAAAAATGGGTGAAGAGTCATTGAATCAGTGATTTAAATGACAAGGTTCTGCCTTTTGCAGGCTCTATCCCAGGGGCCAGTGCAGAAGTGACCTACCAGGACATGGTAGATTGATGTGTGAGAAGAGCAGAACTAATCTTGTTCCCTCTTCTTCCTCCGCTATATCCCATGGCTGTGTTGTTTTGCAAGGTTAGCAAACTAGAATATGTTTGTGTCAAGGAGAGGAGCAGACATGACTAAGGGACACATGGGAGCAAATACGGGGAGGAAGAAGTTGCTGGTTTTAGACAGCCGCTTTTCTGAGCAAGTGCACTTTAAGCACAGATCAAATCACCTATCCTGCAAAAGGTTCAGAGGAGGTTAGGTAAGATCCCATCGCAGTTCCAAAGCCACAACCTTTCTGCCTTGGCTCTTCCAGAGAAAAGGAAAGATTTCTGCTCTGGAGGCAATTTGTAAAGGTGAGTGCAGTGTCCCAGACCTACCCTCTTGTTAATGCTCTAGCTTACCCAAGTGCTACCATCATTGAACTGAAGTCATGCGGCATTTCCAACCAGCTGCAGGTTGGGTGTTTTCTGATGTGGTTCATGTGTTATTCAAAACAACAGCGAAGGCAAGAGCTTGAAACATGTTCTCCGTGCATTAAATCTTGATGGACAAGAAGGAAGGTGAGGGATCTGCCCCACTTTCCTTCTGTGTCATGCAGCAACATAGTAATCCCCAAACAAGGACTGCAAGATGTTTGATTTAAAACGGGAATTACTTCAGTGTTGTGCGCTTACATCCTTCCTGTAGATACAGCACAGCTTTGAATGAGTTCCCATCGTGCTGTCAAGTCTGGTTATTTTCCTGTCAGGTCTTGCTGTGGCTCCTGCATAGGTTCTTCTTTTGAATTGTCTTGTTGGCTTGTTTTTATAAGTTAACGGTACAGGGAGGGAGGAAAAAAGAAAGAGTGGTACTTATGGGAAGACAGTTTGTATACACCTTGTTGGCAGGGCTGACTGCAACACAGCTGAGACAGATTAGCACACCACTGCCTGCCTAAAACAAATAAACACCAGCTGTTTATCAGACAGGGCTCGGCTTTCTCCAGGAGGAGGTAAACAGATTTATGCAGATGAACCTCCCAGGTGCCCTTGCAGCACAGCATCCTTCATGGCTACTCGGCCTTCCTTATGAGTTACAGCCAGGACAGATGAGCAAAGAGATGCAAGGTTAGCACAATAACACAGCCATTCGCATGGTGCCAGGGTGGTTTGTCATTGCTTTATGTTTAAAGCCCATATTTAATAGTAATGTAGAATTAATCATAGTGCTGATCTCACTGTGAATAGAAGAATTTGATGTAAACTTCAGTATTTTAGGCCTATAGCATGTGGAAAAGCAATTTGTTATAACTCACTTACTATTCCACCTAAAATACCATGAAGCATAATTTATGGCCATTCAAGGTTGAGAGAAATTGTGATCAGCAAAAGTACTTTTCTGACTCTACATTAAGATTGTCCAGTTGCTGTCAAACTGCTTAACTTCATGAACCTTTTTTTTGTAACTGTCCAAGTTTACTTTAAATCCAGCAGTGCTACATGAGTCCACTACCTCAAAAGGATTGTTCCTCCCTCAGTTCAATTCTGCCACAGTATCTCCTCTAATTCTTCATATAAATTTTCCCTGAAGCTTCTCAGGTGACCCTAACAACTTGCTGCAAAATCTGGTCTTGAAGACAGATGGGATATTATTTTAATAATGTAGATATAATTATGCAGCCTGCATGCTAGCTCTCAGAAACATCTGATCATTTATTATGATGTTGTTGGGAGGAAAAATTGGTAGCTGAAAATTTTGGGCAAGACCCTGGGGAGTTCAGAAAGAGAGGTTTGATTGAGTTCTCATGGTGTTACCACTTAATCATCAGAAGTGTAAATAATCTCAAATGGTATTGCTGGTTATTTTGAGAGAGTTTCCTTTTTAACTTTATCTTGCACCAAATGGGGCAATCGGATTACCATTGCTACATTTCCTTTGGGATTCTGACTTTTTCAAAGTGTCCTTGGGCTCCTTGTAATACAAAATCATTTCCCTGCAGCTTTCTTGACTGCTGCTATTCAGGAGATCAAGAATGCAAATACATGGTTTGTCAATACAGTAAATCTTAGGTACTGTAGTGATGAGAGCTATAGAAATTTTTGCAAAGAGAAAGAGGAAAAAACCCTTTTCCTCTATTAAGTAAACTGGTGCCATTTGAACTTTTCTTAGATTAGGACTTTCCTCACTCAAGTGCATCACTTAACATTTCAACACATAATATTTCAGATTTCTCAAGGTACTCCTTAAACACTCAACTAAACCAGGTTGAGAAGGCAAAGTCCACATGTGATTTGTTCTCCCTGACTGTCACTGCAGATTTAAAAGCAAAATCATTTTGGATGTGCCTACCATCCTGTGCCTTAGTGTTACTAATATTATTAATATTAGTAACTAACAGTTTTCAGCCTATTGAACAATTAATTAAAAGGTCCACAGGAGTTCTCTATAGAGGCATTGTTCATTACAAAGACCACTGCTTATGCAATCTTACAGCATCCATCTTCCCAAACAACCAAAAGAGCCAGAGATAACAGCTTCTTAACCCCCCCTGTGACCTACTAGTTAAAAAACTTAATTATATGAAAGTCATTAGGATGTTAGTCTTCACCTTTTGATGCTTTAAGTGGTAGCTATGTTGTTGTGGGACACATGCTCCCTTGGGTTGATACAGGTGCCTACTTGGGTGCTTGGGTAGCAGGAGCTGGTGGAAGATTGCAATCACTGTTAGTGATGCTTCTCTGCAGCCAGTTTGAAACCTGATGTTAGTCACCTCCACCTCCTGCATCTGCAGTGCCCCAAGGAAAATGCGTCTGAGCTAAGGGGTGCATACCTGTACAGTTCCTGTGGCACATGGAAGAGATGGAAAAGACTCAAAAGCAGTCCAATTTGTGAGCCAACAGATGCAGGGCCAAGTTAGGAACGCCCCAGGGTAGGAGTGGAAAGAGGGAACTGTCCCATCTAATGCCTCTACTTGAGGAGACCTCTAATGCATCAGCTTTTGCTCACCAAGCACTGGAGAAGAATGTGTAGCTCTCACTGCCCTGCCATGACCATCAGGCTGAAGCTGGGGGTGGTCTGTGCTACCACAGTTCTGAAGGGAGGCAGTAAGCTCCAGTGAAGGGCAGTTTAGAGAGATGAAGGTTTGGGTACTGTGCCTCCAGAAAATGCTATAGTAGCTGTGCATCTCTAGCTGCTTCCACAGTTCATTACAGGCATTAAAAAAGCCTCTTTGTATTGCCAGATGAGCTGTGGGTGCTGTGATGCCAGAAAGGTGCTTAGAGGTTTGGGAGCGAGTAGCTGAGCCCTAGTGTTATCCCCAAAAGAGAGTATGGAGACTCCCAAGCTCTCTCAGCAACTGGTGGCATTTAATCATGATGCAGCATTTGTGGATATCCTGGTAGTTGCTTATCTGCCCTTGTAGGTACCTGAGTAGATCTAGCCCTTATGAATGATGCTGTAAGCTGAGCAGACCAATCTCTGTAGGCTTCTGTAGCTTTGTTAAATTAATAGCTATTGCTCTTTTGATTCTTCCTGAAACCTCGGTTGCTATTCTCTCTCAGTCCTCGCCGTCCTAAATGTCAGTTGAAAGGATCATTGAAACTAATGGGTTCAGTTTGTCTGTTGTGCCGGTGACTTTATCCTGGCTTGACCTTGTTTCTGAGGGAACAGTCGCATAGGAGATGGCTGCAGGGTCTGGGTCTTGCTGTGGAGCAGTGCTCGGCACTTACAACCACCTCCTGCTCGTGCCCTAAGGTACATGGGGGTCAGTGATCCTCCTCTCCTTGGGAATGCTTTGAGTTGCCAAGGTTGAGCCTCAAAAATCTGCCTGAGTTTGGGTTTGAATTGATCCCAACTGAAACACAAAACTCAACAGGACCTTCTAATCTTGCCTGGACTGGCATCGGAAGTATGTGACCTTTGCTATGCCTCACAGGAGATGAGTTATTTCCAGGATCATTCCAAAGAGATTCAGGTCTTTGTAGCAGATTTTGCCCCAAAGGTTCCTCTCCCTGAGGAAAAGCTTGCCGCAAGCTTGTAGGGAGAACATGATAAACCTCAAGTACTTTCCTCACAGATGTTTTGCATGAGACTAGCTCCGTCCCAGAGATGGCTGTGTTCCGTGGGTGGGTAAAAAGATCCCTATAGATATTTTTGCAAAGCAATTTCAGATCCTTTGCAGCTTGCTAGAAAATTGAATTAGCTGTTTTCCATTCCCTGAATTAACCCTGATTCATTCTTCCCTCAACCCTCTCCCTCTTCCTCCCCTCCCTCCAACAGATGTCCAGCATATTAAGAGGAGAGACATCGTTTTGAAGAGGGAGCTGGGAGAAGGTGCCTTTGGGAAGGTGTTCTTGGCCGAGTGTTACAACCTCAGCCCCACCAACGACAAAATGCTGGTGGCAGTGAAGGTAAATCCCAAGGGCGAATGGCAGAGAGTAGGGCAGGGGCTGGCCGGCAAAGCGAGGCTGGATGAGCCTGCGTGGGAAAGGGAAGCAGGGGAGGGCTGGGGGCCAGGGGCGGAGATTTATCTGATGCCGGAGATTGTGGTAAATCCACTTAGTCACACCAAGTTTCAGTGTTTCGCTTCAAGGTTGTCTATTCTCACCAATGCCAAAGCCTCTCTTCCTGCCGACCCGGCCAGGAGACAGACAGGGAGGAGGAGCTGGTCTGGAAGCTCTAAGCTCCCGTGCAGCTGCAGCAGCGCAGTGTGGAGTCCGTCTTCCCTCTGTGAGGTGGGCCCTTCTCCTTCCAGATTTTATCTCTTTGTGGAACATGCAGAAGCTGAAACAAAAAAAGGCCTCAGCAAAAACGAGCACTTAAAAGCTAAGCACGACTAACCAATTTGCTGGGATCAATTTGCTGCAAGATGGGCAAAGCAACTCTGCTCGGCTCCACTAAACTCCTGCTTGCCTAGCCACAGATTGCTCCTGTTTTGGTGATTTTTTGAGCCAACACAAGTTCAGCTTGGCTTGTGCTGTGCTGTTTGCATCCTTGTGAGGGTCCTCATGTGAGCTGTGCCCCATGAGTGTGGCTCTGGACACAGAAGACCACTCAGTGCAGACATGTGCTCTCCTTTCAAGTGGCATCAGTTGGCAGACACACATAGTCTAATCCCTGAGAGTTAATTGATGCCTCCTAACTCCTTGGAAGAAGATCTGCATTTGAACCAATGCTCTAAAAGGAGAAAGGCTCCAGCACTCTCTCCAGGATTCTGGAGGCATCCAGTTACTTGAGAGTTGTTTTAGTCATTGGCAGTTCAAGCCTTTTATTTAGCTCATTTGTCCCCTTATGCTCCAGCTGTGAACTGCAAGATTGCACCTTTCACCTCTGAGACTGCTTAAAGCCGAGGTAACACAGCTACTCATATGATTAATTGCCTGATTATATGGCTGGTACCTGCCCATCAGTGTCAGCCATCCCTTATGTGATCCTGTCTCCCAAGTCTCTTCTGAGTTTCATTTGTATGTAGGCAGAAACAGCATCCAAACTTGTTTCTGTTAATTGCTACTATGAGCTTACATCTCCAGAGTGCCTTTCATCCTGCAAGATCACACAGATCCAGCTTGGGAGCAGGGCCTTGAAATCTGGCTTCTTGCCAGCTCTGGGGTGGTTGGGGGGGTGTAAGGAAAAATTCCCTCTAATTTGGGCCACATTATAAGTCTTAGGGGAAGAAAAAAAAAGGGAGAGGAAAGAAAAAAAAGCTTTACATATTAAGTTGAGATTTGGCTGCGTTTCCTGAAGATCTCGTGCTGCTGATGGAGGCTGAGAACTCCCTCGCCGGTCACTGCAGCAGCAGCAGGACACGCTGGTTAGGGCAGCTGAGATGACAGCCTGGGGTCTGCCTCTGCCCAGGGCCAAAGAAAGTGGCTGTGTTACTCACTTGGTTAAATGGACTCAGATTTTCAGTGGATCTAAAGGTTGCAGCCCTACAGATAAGCTGAGTTTTGATGTGATGGCATGGACAAGCTTCCTGTTTTATTCAGCTTGCTTCTAAAAACATTCTAAGAAATGCACAAAAGCTGTATTCACCAAAGAGTGTTGAGGTTACAAAGTCAAGTACTAGAAATGCTGGAGAGGCTGGTATTCAGGGCATGTCCTCTGAACACATTATTTTTCATTCCTCTATGGGCTGCTCCATTGTGATGATCACTCCTGTGTCTGAGAGGTCCTTAGGTGTGAGTGCGCTTGTTTTCACAGCCTCCCAACGAGGTGCTGGGGTTGTATCATCCCCATTTTGCAGAGGGCAGATGGAGAAGCAGGGAAACTGAGCTGAAAGGATCCACTTAGGTGGAGGATGGGGTTACTGACTTGCCTTTCCAGCCCTGCGGACAGCAGGTACCAGATTCCCATTGAGCCCTGTGGCAGCAATAAACATGTGGCGCTTATGCAGACCTGGCTCTGATGCTGCGTGAGAGGGGATTTCCCAGGTAATATTGGAACAATTGACACTTCGTGACAACGGCTGCAACCTGCAGATGCTGAGTGACTTGGCAGATGTCATATAGGAACTGTGTGATGGAGGCACAAATACAACACACCCCAAACCTTCCTAGGAGAGGCACTTCAATGATTTTGCTGAGACACCCCTTCTCTTCCTCTGGTCCTGGTCCTCTTTCACTGT